ACATGAATACTACTCCATCATACGCCTGATTTGTACCTTGTAGACAGTGCATAGGTTTTAGAAAGTCATGAGGTGACAATGAATATTCATTGCAGAATTCCCAGCCTCTAATCTCTTATCCACAGTATTTATGTTGCTGGACCAGTTAATTTTCTGATCGTTGGTAACCTCCAGGTTGATGGTGAGACATGTCGCAATGGTTATCTCATTGAATATCAAGGATAAATTATTAAATAGTTGTAGATGAATATGCCTACCTGGTATGAATGGACTCTTCAGTATGTGGGGTATTGTGAATGGTTCAGGTCATTGTGCAATCATCAGCAAACATCTTCACTTGACCATTCCCAACTTGAATTACTCCGCCTTCAGTGGCTGTTCCTTCAGCTGCTCAGGCTTTAAGCACTGAAACTACCCCTCTGTCATTCTTTAACAGGTCCCACAATCTACCACTTTGGCCAAGTCTAATGCGGCTCAGTATCTAATGTTGCTTCATAATATTACTGTGAAATAGCATGAGATGTTTAATAACATTAAACAGTCATGTAAATCCTAATGACAGGACAGAATCACTGAGGAAAAACTGATAGCTAAGTTCCGTACCCATGGAGATGTGATTTGGGGTTCATGTCATGCTACATGTGACCCCATTATACTGTTCTGTATCTGTAAAATCTTCCTTACTGTCCTGTTTTGTTACCATCACCTTGATAACTTATTATGATCTACCTTAATTTGTACAGTTTTGAATTATATATTACATTGGTTAGACCCTCAGAATGTGACTCTTATACCCATCATGTTATTCCAGTCATCTGATTTGTCTCCAGCACCATCTTGTCTTTACTGTTTTGTAATTATCTCTCTGCCTCAATTAATTGGATTATAGGCCATTCCTTCGCCTGCTATTCAGCTGTTGACCCTCTATTCACACCATCTGATACTCATGATCACCTGCAGAGACCTATTATTCAGCCTGTTTGACACTTCTCTCACACCACTTGTATGATCTTTTGATCTCTCTGCCTATAAATTCTGTGCCTGAGTGACTCTCACTTCACCTAACAAAAGGGCAATGCTCAGAAAGCTTGTTAATTCAAACAAACCTGTTGGACTATAACCTGGAGTTGTGTGACTTCTGACCTTACTCAGAGAAGTGCTATTGATCATCCCTCTGTTTGCCAAGGAGATGAGAGGTATAGCTAACAAGTAGAAATTGAGTTTTTGGGAAAGGATGATCAGAGGAGATAATGTAAAATCAACCTATATAGAATCTTGAAATAATTCATGATCAGTATGGAAATAACCTGTTTTGTTGTTCAGAACATTGAGTACAGGAGTTGGGATGTTATATTGCAGCTGCACAGGACACTGGTAAGGCCACTTTTAGAATACTGCATATAATTTTGGTTGCCCTTCTACAGGAAAGATATTAAACTTGAAAGGGTACAGAAGATTTACAAGGATGTTGCCTGGACTGGAGGGTTTGAATTGCAGGGAGAAGCTGAATAAGCTGGGGCTGTTTCCCCTGGAGCATTGGAGGCTGAGGGGTGCCCTTACAGAGGCTTATAAAATCATAAGGGGCATGGATAAGGTGAATAGCCAAGGTCTTTCCCCTCGCATGGGGAGTCTAAAATGAGAGGACTGGTTTAAAGTGGGAGGGGAAAAATTTAAAAAGGACCTGAGGTGTAAATTTTTTTCTCAAAGGGTGTTGCATTTATGGAATGAGCTGCCAAAGAAGATGGTGAAGGAGGATACAATTTACAACAATATTTTTCTAGGATCCCTTCAGTGTGGAAACAGGCCATTCAGCCCATCAAGTCCACACCACCCCTGCAAAGAGCATCCCACCTAGACCCATCCCTCAGCCTCTCTCTGTGTAACCTTACATTTCCCACGGCTAAGTCACCTAACTTATGCACCCTGGTCGCAATGGGCAATTTAGCATAGCCAATTCACCTAACCTGCATATTTTTGGACTGTGGGAGGAAAGCGGAGCACCCGGAGGAGATCCACACAGACACGGGGAGAATGTGTAAACTCAACACAGACAATCGCCCGAGGGTGGAATCGAACCCAGGTCCCTGGCGCTGTGACGCTGCAGTGTTAACCACTGTGCCACCCTTTGAAAGGCATCTGGATGGGTATATGAGGAGGAATATGTTTTAGAGGGATATGGGCCAAATGCTAACAAATGGGACTAGGTCAGTTTGGGATGTCTGGTAGGTGCAAATAAGTTGGATCTGTGCTGTATGACTCTGATTCCTTTTTTTTTGCTGGAGCAGCAGAAATTCTATCTTCTTTGCTTTTGCACTGGCACTAGTTATTTATAAAATCTATTTAACAATCTTAGCATTAACCTTTACTTTGAGTTCTCTCATTAAATTTTGGAAAAGTTACATGGGCCTAAATCTTCCAGTCTCTAGATGATTGGAGATCAAACCTACCATCCAAGAGCATGTTAGGACCCTATGGGGATCCTAATGTGCTAAGCCCCATGGAATTGCCCAGAGTGTTTGAACATTTGATGACAATATTCTTTCTCTTGCTCTAGCTCTAAGCTAGAGTCAGAGTCTTGGCAAAGTTCTAAAATAGTTACCTGAACAGTTACTTAGGGAATGTTATACAGAGCAAATTTAAAAACCTATTCAAACTCCTTGACAATTGCATAACTGGCTTAACATCCATTACTCACAGTTATCCTCTGATTCCCTTTGCTATTGCCTGACTGCTCTAACTCAACCATACATTACAACCCTGGCTACTGGACCAATTGACTACCCCAAACCTAGACCTGAGAGCTTTCTGATTCACCTACTCAGCCATTCTTCTATCTACTCATCTTTGTCTCCACCTCCCGGCTTGGCACCTTATCCCCTCCTGCTACTCTACCAACCACACCCACTTACCCCACCTACTCATTCACGTTGGACTTTAATTCACGACAGCTAAAAAGAGGGCATGTCCTGTGTCTCCCCCTTACTGCACAGCAATGGAGTTTCCTGATGGATACTGATATGGACCAGAACAAATCCCCTCTAAACATATCGAGGATATAGCCTTGACCCTAACATTTATTTAGTAGCAAGTATAAGGTGCTGTATTCCAGATGTGATTTGATTGGTCAAACTGCTAGATTTTAAGCTAAACACACTTTATTATTACACCACAGTTAGGATACAAACAAATAAAGAATTGACATAACTTTAACTCTATTAACATACCTAACAAAATAATATATTACTTAACTGCTACTCATCAACTGTTCCAAATACAACAGTATCCCACAAACATGCCCTTGGCAAAGGCAAAATCAGCAAAACAGGTTTCCCTCACTTGCTATCTCCTCCAGACCAGGAGATAGGAAAAACTGAAAGCATGAATCTAGCAGTAGAGAAAGAGCTGTACCTAACACCATAAACTCCAAAACTCCAGCTTCAACAGCTGAAAGCAAAACAAAATTCAGAGTCTGTGTGGGTCTGACTCCACCCACTCATGCTTCTTTTGTCTAATTTTGTAAAAAACGAAGTTTTCTACTCTGCTTTCCATGGGGCATACTCTTTGACACCAGGGTTATAACACCTCTCTTCAAGAGAACCAGATCAGAACAAATCCCTCTTAAAGACACATCTCATCATTACACTGTGCTCTGCTTTTCTGATAAACTCAGGCTCGGGAGACCAGGCAAGAAATATGGGGTGGCATGGAGGCAGGAACAAGTTTGAGCAGAGCTGCAATCTGATGATAAGTGATCCTTGTTGGATGATCCAGGTTATGCTTACAAGTGAAAAGTTAATGTAAAGAAGTGTATGGAATTGATAAATGTACTATATTTCACTGAGGAGTAGATTTATTTTAATTGATTCAGCACTACTTTACAGAGGGGTATTTGGGAATTTAGGAAATAGAATGAGATAATTGTTGACAGATTAAAAAGAATAAACAGATACATGTTCTGAGGAAGGGTCACCGGACCTGAAACGTTAACTCTGTTTTTTCCTTCACAGATGCTGCCAGATCTGCTGAGCTTTTCCAGCAACTTTGTTTTTGAAACAGATACATGGTCTCTCACCTCTGATACTTGCATATATTTAAAGCTGTCACACATAATTCATTAATAATGTTTTTATTCAGGTTCACTTATTTTGTTGCGTGGGAGAAAGTGTGGATGAGATAACTAGTGCAATTACATTGTAAATTAGTATTGGACTTTTAAGGATGTGGGAGACATGACTGTTGGAGAATAGCCAAATTCCTATGAGATAAAATAATGGACGAATGAATGTCGAACCTGAAGAACTAATCAAGAGAAGGTTGTAAAAGAAGTGATTATTTAGAAAAAATGTTTTTGAGGATACACAATGAACAACAAAAGCTCATTCAGAAAGTGACAGGGTAAAACTATAAGTCATAAAAAAGCATACACATAGAAAACAGGGAGACACATTAACCATTTTAGGACACAAAATGGTTGAATTTACCAGCAACTCCTCTTGAAGTTTGAGAAAGATACTCTGAAGAAATTATACTGGATTGTACATATAGGCTTCTTCAAGATTTTTTGTATGTCCAAAAGGATTTTTAACAAAGAATTTTAATATTATGTATAAAGTTACAGTTGATATTCTATGATACAATCTTCATGACCATAATGTAATCTGGAATTAGTTCTTGCAATAAATATTCATAAGCAATTATAAGAATTGCAGCCTTATGAGCCCACATCTAGATCGCAATTACCTAAAATTCTTAAATTAGGATGCTAAGTGCTGATATCAGGAAATTTTTGGAAAACATTGCTTCTGACACTACATGCCTTAAAATTATTCCAGGATAGAATTAATCTGCTAGTGCAAAATCTCTTGGGGGGAGGGAGGCCATTTCATTATAGGACCCAATCTATAGCTATTAAAGCTGACTGAGTCTCCTTTAACAATCTGAAATTTCTCACAGGTGAGGTTTAAAGCTGATTAGCAGCAGCAAGGTTTATGTTGCTGGGGGTTGAAAATGGTAGAAGTATCGACACTGGAAGTTATCAAGTTATGGTACAAGACAGGAAGGATCCCTCACAAAGTTTCAGGTCTAGTAGCTTTAGTAATGCATGAACAAATGACATGAACAAGCTGACAAACAAATCTTTATCAAATTACACAAAATACTCCTGTTATGTTTATTAATGAAATGTGAAGTTGTTTGAGGAAAACATAAGTTAATTTTCATTGCATTTTTTGTGCATTGTTATAAGACAATACTAAATTGCAGATATTACAGAAAACATCTTTTTAAACTAGGAGGATGTGATCTCTTTACACTTAAGATTTTGATTTCAGGAGCATTTGAGATTTTTGATGACATTTCTGTAGAAGTACCATTTGTGAGCATTGCATTCTTCGAAGCTGGATTACTGATCTTTTCATCAATTAACCCTGTTAACTGGCTAAATTGAGAAAAAGCATGATTGTAAATGCATTGTTATCCCTCCTTTTTGCTTTATCTAACACATTGAGATTGGACATACCTGAAACTTTGCTTTGGGTACATTATTAATGCAATACAATGATTCATTGGTGTTTAGATATTTACACAGTACATGCAGCATAAATGGTAACACTTCTATAATAATGAAAATTTTGCTGCACAGGACGTTGTTTCTTGGCCAGCTGTGCCTGTGCCAGATCTCTGAAAGAGCTATCAAAGTAGTCCCATTTCCCAATATTTTTCCCCATTGGTTTGCATTTTTTTCAGGTATTTACCAATTCCCTTTTGGAAATTATAATTGAATCTGCTTCATCATCCTTCTAGGCTCTTCATGTCATCTCGTCTATTCCTGTTCCTATGTTGTTATGTAGTATTTGGAGCCTTACTATATTAAACAAGCATCTGTCTAGGAGTGTTTGATGAGGACAGAGTAGAAGTGGGTTTATTCTGTATCTAAAGCCACGCTGTACCTGTCCTGGAAATGTCTGGTGGGCCAGTATTTCATAGGAAAAAAGGGATCATAGCAAACTGCTGCAGACTATTTACTTTCCTCAATTCACCTCTCATTCTTTGACAGAGCCTGTGCCTTCTGGTCAATGACCCGTCTGTCAGTGGAACTGCTATTTCTAGAAAGCCATTTGGTGAAGGGTGCTAATTATCATTTAATCTAATATTTATTTACAACAGTGAAAAATTACAAGTGTACACCTCCTGCCCCAAGTTCACCACAGTTTCAGTGGATGTCTTTTTATAAGTGCACAAATGAAACCATTATTTTGTGCTGAGTGAATGGGAAGAGGTCAAAACATAATTTCAGGCAAAACAGCAGCATCATTGAGATTGAGATCCTGCTGGATTCTTCAGGGAACTTTGCTGAGGCCCTTCAACTGAACCACGGCATGAGCACTTATGACCAATCAGAGAGGGAGGGTGAATGAGATTATGCAGTGATTTATCAATGGAGGGATTTCTAATCAATGGGAACTCTGGCTTAGTTTAGAATGGCTGAAAGGAACATGAATTTCTGTAGTTGCAGTGGAGAGGAGACCTGGAAGGGCTGGCCAGGTCCAGAAGTCTTAAATGGGTGGTCTACTGTGGGATGTGTGGAACTGAATTGAGGTGGTCTTTCCAATAAAGGAGAAAAAAGACAGCTCTTGAGCCAAGCAGGCACACACAAAGGTGGCTGAAGAAATCCATTACTGAAGGTGGTCCTTTGAAACTGGAACAGGACACCAAAAGGACCTGAGGAGAGTAGGAAAAGTGAACGGCACCAAGCTTCTAGGTGCCAAGTCCCTTCTGACTTTCACAGCATTCTCCTACACTCCAGTCCTCAGAGCAATCTTCTAACCACACTCATTTATCTCTCTCCAGACACACAGGGGCATCAGATCCATATCGGAGATGCTAAAATCCAACCTCTGCCAACTGCTCTGACACCCATGTTTCATAATCACTTTCCACAAATGTCGCCCTTCCCTACTATTCATGTAAATAACACGTCTCTGCTTTCTCACCTTGCAGGAAAAGAGATGACAGGCAAGAGAGGGTGGGAAGGTTACAAAGCGATAGCCCAATAGTAACAGGCACCTCGACAGCCATTAGCAATACACAGCCACTTGGTCCACTGCAAAGGAGATCTTCCTCTTGAAGGCTGAGTATGTCAGCAGTGTGCAGCCAAGAGAATCTGAGTCTGGTGAGGCACGGGTACTTAGACATAATGAGAAAGTTGATACTTTCTCCAGGTCTCCTTACAGTGGAGGCTCTCATGTCCTTAGGGTTGGATTTCTATTTCCACCCCATCTGCCCCGTAGAGTGGCATGTGGCTGAGGAGACACCAGCTGCTTATTCTGGTGATGTCTCTGGTGTAGGTTTCAATATTGCTACATCTCCTACTCATCATCAAGCCTGGGAAAGCTGAATAAGCTGCTCTACTGCTGCTGTGAAAGTGGTCATGGTGAAAGTACAGTTGAAGTAAGTGCAGTGCAGGACAGGTAAAGGGCCATCTAACAATTTAGCAATCACCAAAGAAGCAGTGAAAACATTTTCTGACAAGATGTAATCAGAGCAGTGTACTTCCATCTGGCCAAAGCTGGAGGTCTTCACTTTCATTAATCTGAATGTGAGATCATTGCTGGTAAATGTAGACAGTCACTGGGGAGACAGGATAAGAATAACTTGCTGTAGAATTCTTTGCCTCTGATCTGCTCTTGTAGCCACAGTATTGATGTGGCCTGTCTAGTTTAGTTTCTGCTCAATGGTAACCCTCAGGATATCGATAGTAGGGGATTCAGTGATGGTAATGCAACTGAACGTCAAGGGAAGATGGTTAGATCTCTCTTGTTCATTATGGTCATTACCTGTCACTTGTGTGACATGTATGTTACTCACTATTTATCAGTTCAAGTCTGGGTGGCACCGAGGTCTTGCTGCATATGGACACAGACTGCTTCAGCATCAGAGGAGTCGTGAATGGTGCAGTATGTTTTTACCCATCAGTGGGCATCCCCATTTCTGACTTTATGATGGAGGCAAGGTCATTGATTGTGCATCTGAAGATGGTTGGGTCTAGGATACTACCCTGAGGAATTCCTGCAGAGATGTCCTGGAGCTGAGATGCCTGACCTTCAACAACCACAAGCATCTTCGTTTGTGGCAGGTATGACTCCAACCAGCAGAGAGCTTTTCCCTGTAACCCATTGACATCAGTTGTGCTAGGGTTCTCTGATGGCACCCTTGGTCATATACAGCCTTGACGTCATCATTCTCACCTCATCTCTTGGTTTCATCTCTCTGGTCCATGTTTGGCTGTAATGAGGTCAGGATTTGAATGGCCATGATGGAATCCAAATCTTGTGTCAGTCAGCAGGTTATTGCTGAGCAAGTTCTGCTTAATAGCACTGTTGATGACACCTTCCATCACTTTGCTGATGATTAAGGGAGAGCAGAATGTTGGAGGAGTAACTGGCTGTGTTGGATTTGCCCGTTTTTTGGACAGGAGGTCATACCTGGGAATTTCTCCTCATTGTCAGTTAGGTCCTATATTCTTTAGGAAAAAGCCAACTTGGTCAGCACTGGTACTACTGAACCACTCTTGGTCTAGGACGTTGAAGTCCATCAACAAGAGTACATTCTGTGACTTTGCCACCTTCAGTCCTTCATTCAATTGTTGTTCAACATGAAGGAATACTAATTTATCAGCTGAGAGGAGTGGTAGGTAGTACATAGTAATCTGCAGGAGATTTCCTTGCCCATATTGAAAGGCAGCACGGTGGCTCAGTGGTTAGCATTTACAGCGCCAGGGACCTGGGTTCGATTTCTCCCTCGGGTGACTATCTGTGGAGTTTGGACATTCTCCCTGTGCATGCGTGGGTTTCCTCCCACAGTCCAAAGATGTGCAGGTTAAGTAGAATGGTCACATTAAATTGTCCTAGTGTCCAGGTGTGAACCAAGTGAGTACATGGTATGTGTAGAGATGTGTAGGTTAGGTGGATTAGCCATGGGAAATGCAGGTTAACAGGGATAGGATAGGGGAATGGGTGTGGGTGGGATCTCTTCGGAGGGTTGGTGTGGACTCAATGGTCTGCTTCCAAACTGTAGGCACTCTATGAATCTATGTTCTGATGCTATGAGACTTCATGGGGTCTGGAGTCAATGTTGACGAACCCCAGGGCAACTCCCTCCCACTGCATATCACTGTGCCACCACTTCTGGTGGGTATGCCCTGCCGGTGGGATAGGACATATCAGGGATGGTGATGGCAGTGTTAATTTCACTGAAGAAGCACTCCTGACCGTTGATTTCCAACAGTTCAGGAATTAGATGCTCTAGTTGTTCAAGCCAGAATGCTTAATTAAAACAGAAATAAATGACATATTTGAACATTAAAATGCTTTACCCAACAGCTACGTGGGATGGCAGGTTCTTGGCTCACCTTCAAGTCTGCCTGCGTAGAACCTGGAAGTGTATTGAGGGATGTCAGGATCCCAACCTGATCACGCTTTTCAGGAATTTAACCTTCCCTTCTTTGATTTCTTTGATTCTCTTTTTTAAATTTTTTTTTGGAGGATGTGGGTATCACTGACTGTACCAGCATTTGTGACCAATCCCTAATTGCCTAGAGGGAAATTGAGAGTTAACTCATTGCTGTGTGCCTGGAGTCACACGTAGGCCAGAGTAGGTAAGGTTGGCAGTTTCATTTTCTAAAGGGCATGAGTGAACCATTTGGGTTTTTGCCTAACAATCAGCAATGGTTTCATGATTATCATTAAACTCTTAGCTTCTGATTTCTATTGAATTTATATTCCATGCCATGGAATTCCAACCAGAGCTGCCATGGTAGAAATTGAGCCAGGATCCCAGAATATTGCCTGGATCTCTAGATAAATAGTTGAGCGATAATAGCACTAAGCCATCACCTCCCCTTATTTCTGTTGATAGACTATTAAATAATATTCATTTCCAGCTCATTGACTTCCACAGTACTTTACCAACACTTCTTCATTCTCTACTGTGTGTAAGGGTTCTCCATTATTTCAATTCCATGTACTGCATTCGCTGCTTGAAATGTTGGGTCTCATTTAGAATGGGGAGATCAAACGCAGG